CTTCTTCCCCTCCTTCTCCTTCTCCCCCTTCTCCTTCTCCTTCTCCTTCAACTCCCACAGTTCCTCAGCTGGCATGTCCTCTTCTCAAGGGCTTCCAACCTTGACCACTTCTGGACTTCAACTCCCACAATATGTTCTCTTCTCCAGAGTTCTCCAAGCTTGACAACTTGATGACCTGTGGACATCAACTCCCAGAATTCCTCAGCCAGCATGACTCTGCCTCTCTGAGTTTTTACTTCTTTTAGGGGAAATATTCTGCCTTTTTAATATATCCTAAAATATTTCTTCTTCTTTTTTTTTAGGAAAGGGGTGGGTTTTAACTTCCAACAGAAGCATCCACAATTTCTGTCGGCAAGCAGTTCCATTGGTTAATTGTCCTCACTGTTGGGAAGTTTCTCCTTAATTCCAGGTTGCTTCTGTCCTTGATTAGTTTCCATCCATGGTTTCTTGTCCTGCCTTCTGGTGCTTTGGAGAATAGCTTGACTCCCTCTTCTTTGGGGCAGCCCCTCAGATATTGGAAGGCTGCTCTCCTGTCTCCCCTGGTCCTTCTCTTCCCTAGACTAGCCAGGCCCAGTTCCTGCAACCGTTCTTCATATGTTCTCATGTGTTCATATGGAGAAGGCTTATACATGTCGTAGTTGAGCTGACATCCATTTGACGGCCCACAATCAGTCAATCAAACCTTGCCAATCTCCAGGACAGGTAAATTTAAGGCAGGGAAAGCGTTTCCCCCCAAGCAAACTTACCTTCTTCGTGAAGGCTGTAATGACCATGGCGTGCGTCATCATGGAGTCCCCGAAAATCAGCCGCTCGTCTTTCTTCATATTCTTGACTGACACCCCGAACATCAGCTCATGGTTGTATCTGCAAACAACCAAGAAGGTTTCTGAATTGGGGGACAAATGGGGCTGGGATTTCCAGGTGGACTTCAACTCCCACAATCCCTTGCTGGTCGGGACTGAAGGAAGAAGTCACCCCAAGTTTTATCCTCCCTATTTATTTAAAAAAAAAATGCATTTCCTGATGAGCTCAGGGTATCATTAAGCCAGTTTGGTCTGGTGGTTAAAACATTAGGCTAGAAACTAGGAGACAGTGAGTTCTAGTCCCGCCTTAGGCATGAAAGCCAGCTGGGTGACTTTGAGCCAATCACCAAGAGACGGTGAGTTTAATTCCGTCTTACGCATGAAAGTTGTCCGGGTGGCTTAGGGCCAATTGCCAGGTGACTGAGAGTTCTAGTCCCTCCTTAGGCATGAAAGCCAGCTAGATGACTTTGAGCCAATCGCTAGGAGATTGGGAATTCTAGTCCCACTTTAGGCATGAAAGTTGTCTGGTTAACTTTGGGTCAATCGCCAGGAGATTAGGAGTTCTAGTCCCGCTTTATGCATTAAAGCCAGCTGGGTGACTTTGGGCCAATCACCAAGAGACTGGGAGTTCTAGTACTGCCTTAAGGCATGAAAGTCAGCTGGGTGACTTTGGGCCAATCACCAGGAGAGTGGGAATTCTAGTCCTGCCTTAAACATAAAAGCTGGCTGGGTGATTTGGACCAACCTCTCTCTCTCTCTCTCTCTCTCCCTCTCATAAACCATGGCCTCTGCGTGCAGACAACGAACCCCCAAAGTGAGAGGAACCAGGCCTCCTGCTTGGAAGCCCTGTCCAGGGGCAACCCCCTCCCCCCCTCCCCATGGGCTCTCCCCCTCCTTGCACCAAACCTCACATCTTCAAATCGTTGATGCCTAGCTTGCTGTTAAAACATTTTCCAACGTCGCAGCCAAACCAAACTGCCTATGGGAGAAGAGAGAGCAGCCAACGGTCAGGACGAATGTCATGCCCCTGTCGGAATCTGATTCGGAGGGGGAGGCCGAGCAGCTGACAGGGAGTGGGAGTGTGGCTCCGTTGGCTGTGGAAGAAACTGGGGAAGGGCAAAGTCCGGCTGGGCAGAGCAGAGGAGAGGGAGAGCAAGGGAGAGGGGGTTCAGAGGAAGACCCAGCCCCACCCCCTCTTCATCCTAGGGGACGCAGGGAGGAATGGAGAAGGGAGCAACGTGGGTTGCATGGCTTACGGGGGAGGAAAGGGCCCTGATTTCCTTCATTAGCTGCAGCTGGAAACACAGTGTTTAAAAAGGGAGATTGCGCACAGCAACTTGTTGGAAGCAAATTGTGAGTTATCTATTATTGTCGAGGGTTATCTGGGCTCCTGGCATCTTTCCAACTGTGTGCGTGTTTTGCTGTGCTTTCAAGTCTGCAATTCCTTCTCCTGCCCTGTCCAGTTAATTGCTGCAGCTTGTGGGTTGTGTGGATTTTTATTTGCAGTTTGTAGGTACTTCGTTTTTGGACTGAATTTCCTCCACTTAAAGGCTATTCCTGGGAGAAGTTTTCTCCAGCCGAAGGTTAACTGGACGTTGGGGGCAAAGTTGGAGAGAATAAAGGGACTTTTCTTACTTATGTGACTGTGTTGCCTTTGTGCCACACCCCTTTGGGTCATCACAACGAAGAAGAAAGAGCGGAAGAGAATTGGGGGGGGGAATCAACTGGGGGGGGGGCAGTGGGGGTTGCAAGAGACTGACCTCTCCATCCTGTATAGACGCGGCCACCATCTTTTTCAAGAGCTCCACCGGCTGGTTGTTGTAAAGGGTCTTCCTGCCACCCACCATGTTGCCCAGATAATCCACTGTGTAGAGCTGGTTGTATTTGTTCCGGGGACGAGGATCGTTCACCAGGCACACCTGTGAGATGGAGTGGAGAGAGGGGGGGCAGGTTAGGGGCAGTCAGGTGCAGGAAGGGGCAACCCCCTGGCTCGGCTGGGACGCCTCCCCCCCCCACCAGCCAGATGGGATGGTTTCAATCAGAGATGTCCAACTTTGGCCACTTTTAAGACTGGGGGGTGGACTTCAATTCCCAGAATTCCCCAGCCAGCGTAGGATTAGAACTCCTGGCCTTCTGGCGATTGGCTCAAAGTCACCCAGGCGGCTTTCATGTTTTAAGGTGGGACTGGAACTCACAAGCTCCTAGTGATTGGGTCAGAGGTCCTCAGCCAGCTTTCATGCCTAAGGGACTAGAACTCAATGGCACCTGGTGATTGGCCCAAAGTCACCCAGCGGTCTTTCCTGCCTAAGGCTGGACTAGAACTCAATGGCACCTGGTGATTGGCTGAAAGTCACCAACCCGCCTTTCCTGCCTAAGGCAGAAACTAGAACTCAA